CATTTGGGACACTTGGGGACACTTGGGGACACTTGGGGACACCTGGAACCTCATTTGGGACACTTGGGGACAGCTGGGACCCCATTTTGGGACACGTGGGGACACACCTGGGGACACCTGAGAGCTGATTTGGGACATTTGGGGACACCTGAGGACATCAGTGACACACCTGGGGACACCTCGGACCGCATTTGGGGACACCTGGGGACACTGGTGACACACCTGGGGACACCTGGGGACCCTATTTGGGACATTTGGGGACACCTCAAACCCCATTGGGGACATTTGGGGACACCTATGGGACATTTGGGGACAGCTGGGGACACCTCAAACCCCATTGGGGACACACCTGGGGACACTGGTGACACACCTGGGGACACCTGGGACCCCATTTTGGACATTTGGGGACATTTTGGGTCATTTTGACCCATTTTTGGGCCATTTCTTACACAAATTTCCCCTCACCTGTCTCCCCTGTCTCACCTGGGATGGATTTTGGGTCCATTCAGCCCAATTTTGGGTGCATTTGAACAATTTTTGGCCCCTTTTACGCTATTTTTTGGCCATTTTGAGCCATTTTTGGGGCATTTTGAGACATTTTTGGGTCATTTTGAGCCATTTTAGGCCATTTCTTACAGAAATTTCCCCTCACCTGTCTCACCTGCCCTCACCTGGGATGGATTTTGGGTCCATTCAGCCCAATTTTGGGTCAATTGGAACCATTTTTGGGTGGATTTGAACCATTTTTGGGCCATTTTTATCCATTTTTGGGCCCTTTTGAGACATTTTTGGGCCATTTCTTACAGAAATTTCCCCTCACCTGTCTCACCTGTCAGGTTCACCTGTCCCACCTGTCTCACCTGGGATGGATTTTGGGTCAATTCAGCCCAATTTTGGGTGGATTTGGCGTCAATTTGAGCCATTTTTGGGTCATTTTGAGCCATTTTTTTTGCCATTTATCGTGGGAATTTCCCCTCCCCTGTCTCACCTGGGATGGATTTTGGGTCAATTCAGCCCAATTTTGGGTGGATTTGGGCCATTTTTGGGCCTTTTTGAGCCATTTTTGGGCCATTTTGAGCCATTTTTTGGACCATTTCTCACAGGAATTTCCCCTCACCTGTCTCACCTGGGATGGATTTTGGGTCCATTCAGCCCAATTTTGGGTCCATTTCGAGTCAATTTGGGCCATTTTTGGGTCATTTTGAGCCATTTTTGGGCCATTTCTCACAGGAAATTTCCCCTCCCCTGTCTCACCTGGGATGGATTTTGGGTCCATTCTGCACAATTTTGGGTCAATTTGAGCCATTTTGAGTCCATTCAGCCCATTTTTGGGTCATTTTAAGCCAATTTTGGGCCGTTTTGAGCCATTTTTGAGCCGTTTCTCGTGGGAATTTCCCCTCACCTGTCTCACCTGTCGGGTTTACCTGTCCCACTTGTCTCACCTGGGATGGATTTTGGGTCCATTCAACCCAATTTTGGGTCAATTTGAACCATTTTTGGGTGGATTTGAACCATTTTTGGGCCATTTTGAGCCATTTTTGGGCTGTTTTGACCCATTTTTCCCCTCACCTGTCTCACCTGTCGGGTTCACCTGTCTCACCTGTCTCACCTGGGATGGATTTTGGGTCCATTCAGCCCAATTTTGGGTCAATTTGAACCAATTTTGGGTGGATTTGAACCATTTTTGGGCCATTTTGAGCCATTTTTGGGCCCTTTTGCGCTATTTTTTGGGCCGTTTTGAGCCATTTTTGGGCCGTTTTGAACCATTTTTGGGCCATTTCTCACAGGAATTTCCCCTCACCTGTCTCCCCTGTCTCACCTGGGATGGATTTTGAGTCAATTCAGCCCAATTTTGGGTCAATTTGAACCATTTTTGGGCCCTTTTGCGCTATTTTTGGGCGGTTTTGAGCCATTTTTGGTCTGTTTTGACCCATTTTTCCCCTCACCTGTCCCACCTGTGTCACCTGTGTCACCTGTCAGGTCCCACCTGTCCCCTCACCTGTTTGAAGTAGGCGGTGGTGAAGTTCCCGCCCTCGATGGCCATGTCCCCCAGCAGCCGCTTCTGATTGGCTTTCTTCAGGATGTTCTCCTCCACCGTGCGCTCGCTGATCAACCTGTGACAGGTGAGACCGACAGGTGAGATACAGGTGAGAAATTGGACAGGTGAGATTGGACAGGTGAGATTGGACAGGTGAGATGGGACAGGTGAGATTGGGACAGGTGAGAACAGGTGAGACAGGTGAGAACAGGTGAGATTGGACAGGTGAGAACAGGTGAGACAGGTGAGAACAGGTGAGAACAGGTGAGACAG